CCCACGAGGTGGGGGACCACCTGCCACCATGTCCCACTGATAAGGTGCTTCCATAAGCGCCACCCTCTGTACCCCGCCTTTAAAATTCTGCCCCACCCCAACATCTGCACAACCTGGGAGCCTATGCTAGGCATCTGGCAGATACTGTCAGGGCCACAGGGCCACCCACGGGGTGACGAGCCACAGATACTGCAGAGCTGACGGGGATCGTTATGGGGAGCACAAGTCCCTGAAAGCCAGAGTCAGGAGGTGCCGTGGGAGGTAAGGCAGTGGACTCCCCACATGGTGAACCACCGTTCAAGTTCTGGACCCGACAGCCTAAAAATCTACACTAGGCGTGTGTGCCTGCATGCCCAAAATCTCACGAGAATGGAGAGAGGATTACAATGTGGCCATCCCACCTGGGAGGGTGATTTCACTGCCCCTCTCTCTGTCTTCCTCTGGCAAGCACACATGCCCTATGGCAAAAACCAAAACTAAAAATCATAAAACAGAAAGCCACTATTCTCATTCTCTTTCAACCCAACTAAGATCCTCTATCAGGTCTTTTCCCCTACCCTGTCATTACAGGACTAAGAATACACTCTTAAGATACAACTTAATTTCATTACTCTTTTTTTAGAGAGATTTTTTTTTTTTTTTGGAGAGGTTTTTTGCTATAGGGCGCATGCACTTGCCAGACAGAGAGAGACATAGAGACAGAAAGCAAGAAATCACCCCCCAGGGGGGATGGCCATGCCACAATCCCTTCTCCTCCACTCTCCTCTCAGCATTTTGGGCACATTTACACACACACCTGGCGTGAGTTTTAAGCCACCGGGTCCAGGATGTGAACCGTGGTCGACTACGTGGGAGTCCAGCAACATGGCCATTACACTAACTGTTGGTTCCTTTTTTAGAGAGATTTTTGCTATAGGGTGCACGTGCATTTGCCAGAGAGACGGAGAAAGACAGAAAGTGAGAAATGACTCCCCAGGGTGATGGCCATGCCACAATCCCTTCTCCTCCACTCTCCTCTCAGCATTTTGGGCACATTTACACACACACCTGGCGTGAGTTGTAAGCCACTAGGTTCAGGACTCAAACCGTGGTCTACTGCGTGGGAGTCCAGCGACATAACCACTATGCCATCGGCTGGTCCCACATTTTCATTGTTTTCAAAAAGGTTCCAATAAGGTCACATAGTACCTGGAGGAATATGCAGTGAGGTCTAACGATCAGGGCCACACTGCGTTCTCGGCCAGCTTTAGCCCCATCCCCGTGTATGGCCTTGGGCAAATTACTTGGCTTTTATGGGTTTTAGTTTATTTCAATGAATCAGCGATTATAGAGCCCTATAATCCCACCCACCCAGTGTACGTGAGGACACATGACAGGACAGTCCCCAGTCTCCTTTCTTCTTGAGTGATATCAGACTAAAAACCAGTGTGGAATGTACATAAGGTCTGGACTGAACCTGAATCTTTACTGCTGGCTCCTTGAAGTCGAACGAAAGCTTCAATTTGTGCTCTGTGTTTGTTGACGTTCAGAAGTCCCTAAAATTATAATACAAAATTAATGTGAAAAAAATGTCTTTTCTAACATTTTTTTCTGACTTCCAATAAGCTCACTTTTAAAAAATTATATGAAAACAGTCTACGATGGTCACATGGGGTTTGATATTAAAGATGCCGTCACTTTGAACGACCAGCTAAACGAGAGTGCGAGATCCATCTTACCTAGCTGAGGCGCACTCTTCTTTATTTTTTGGAGTTTTTGTCTTAGGGTGTGTGTCCTCGCCAGAGAGAAATCGTCCTTCGAGGGGGAAGGCCACACCACAGCCTCTTCCCCTTCATTCTCCTCTCAGGATTTGGACACACACACACATGCTTCGGGAGTGACTTCCAAGCCACCAGGTCCAGGACTTGAACTACGGAGTCCGCCATGTGGTTTCCAGCTACCTTAACCTCCATGCCACCTGCTGGCCTGATGAGTACTCTTAACATTTACAGCTCCAGATACTCTCCCAGGCATGCCATAAACTTCACTAGCAAGTTGGAAGCGCCAGCCTCTCCAGGTACACTCATTTAAAATACCCACATTTGAGGGCGGGCCTTTAGGATGGCGTTCTCAAGCGTTGCCGGAAATAAAAATCTTATGACCTGCTTGTTAGAACTGTGAACGCCGAGCTGGGCTGGCTCTGCCTCCGGACCGTGCTGCTGAGGACACGGGTCTGCACGCGTGAACTGAACCGCACAGAACTCCACACGCTCGTGTGCACAGAGGGGTGTATGAAAACTAGAAATCGGCGTCGGTTTTACCCAGTTCTCCCCCAGACCCTGATGGCATCTATTAATAGATTCTGGGGGAATCAGAAAGCAGAGCTTGAAAGGGGCAGGAAATGGCAAAGCAGGAACAAGATACACTTTGCCCATTTTACAGCGCTGTTAAAACTTCTGGCCCTTGCTTCAGAAATACGTGTGTCTTTTCTGGTGACAGAATTAAGGACGCCATCATAGGGTGGCTTCACATGGGACAGCCCGCGTCTACAGCAAGGATAGCTTCCGAATCAACTGAGCGCCCACAGGAGGCAAGTAAGAGGACGGGCGAAGCAGGCCGGCCCCGACGCGGACCCTCCGCCCACCCTCACCTGGATGTAGCGCCCAGACTTAATTCCAGCTTCCAGCACTTCCAGCGGAAGATGTTCCGGGTACTCCTTCCGGTGGCTCTCCTGACTCTCATTCTCTCTTTCTCGTCGAGACTGAAGGATAGAATCACAGAGCTCGTGGGCAGCCTTTAAATCGGGCCAGAAATCGTCCAGGTAATTCTGCATTTAAGGAAGGCACAGGGAAACGTGGTCAGGAGGTAATGACTTCATTACACGCCAGCTACAAAACGTCCTGCCCAGCACTGCCCAAACAGCCTGGCGTTTCCAGGCCGTGTGCGGTAAGCATACCTCCTGTGCCAGCCCATGTTCTACCACCCACCAACCCCTCCAGCCTTGCCGAATAGGCCCCGGGCAGGCCAACCACCGTGGAAGGCGCCCACCACGCAGACGCCCGTGTGCTTTCCAGTCCCCCTCCCACGCACACGCACACCCACACCCACACGGCGTCCAGGCAGCCTGTGCTCACACGTCTCCCTGCTGCAGACAACGGACAGAGAGAAGGGAGGGGAAAAGCTCCTTATGTGTTCATTCTTATCTTTCTTTTTTTTTTTAATTTTTAAATTAAAAAAATTTATTTTTTGCCAGAGGGTATGTGCACTCATTGGAATGAGAAAGAAAGAGAAGAAAGAAAGCCCCCTGCCTCCATGGGGAACGATCACACCGTAATCCTTTCTCCTTTCCTTGCCCTTCTTTTGGGTTTCTGGGCTTGCACACACATGGGCCAGCATGTTTATCAGGCCACCAGGGCCAGGACTCAAAGCACACAGCTGGCCATGTGGGATCCAGCCACCATAACCACCAAGCCACCAGCTGGCCCCACTCTTCTTTTTTTTAAAAAAAGAATTATTTTATTTATCATTATTATATTTTATTTTAATTTGTTACATGGCATGTATATTTACCAGAGAGAGAGAGAGAAAGTGAGAAGTAAGCCAGGTAGGGGACTTGAACTGCAGTCGGCCAAGAGGGGAGTCCAGTGCCTTAACCACCACATCACCTGCTGGCCCCCATTTTTTATCTTTCTACATGTAATTTTAATTCAACTTTAAGTATTAGTGGAGATTAGCACGCTCTCTGTTTGAGAACAAAACGAACGATCCTCCTGTCCTTTTCTCCCATTAATTGTAGGATCCTGCTCAAACTTCTGTTGCTTCGTTTTCTTTCCTTTGCCGGAAGTTCAGTGTGTGCTAACAGCAATACCTCAATTATACGGTCACTCATTCCTTCTCAGCAGCAAGCTCCCGTCATGATGAACCACGTCTCCAAGAGGGATCTATTGTCTTAACTTCTCCATCAAACTTCGAGCCCCCACAGAAAACTCCGGGCTTCCCTCTCGTCTGAATTTCATAATACCTTTTTTTCCTGCTATCAGTCACCTCTATGAGGCCCTTGGTCAGAGTCTGCCTGAGAAATGCTCTACGAAATAAAACTGTGCTGTGCTGCTGGACTACAAAGAAAAGCAATTTTCACAAAAAGTAGAAAAATGTAATTTTAGTCAACTGTCCTCTGCAGGAACAAGACATGATGTATGGCAACAGAAAAAACAAGTGACACTGCCATTAATATCCCGCGCCCCTGGAATTCTCTGGCATGCCAGAGCACTTTTTATAGCAGGGCCAAGAAATTTCAATTGGCAAATCTTTAGCAATACACGCACCTGGGAACCCTTGAAGAATCTACAATTCAAAACCCAACCCGACGTTCTGCAAACTGACAGGGGTAACGGAGGGCCTCGTTCCAGTTTCTGCGTCAAAAAGTGATAGCGACCGTGGAGCCCGACTGACCGGCTGGGCAGAGAGACCAGTAATCTACTGCGAGATTAGCAGCCATCTCGCTCACTCAGAAGGTACCTACAAGGCAGGAAGATCCGTGCTGCTGAGACAGCCCCAAGAAACTGTCACGGACAATGCCACGCCTGCCTGTGGCCTGTGCCAGCCTTCACTCGTCCCTACCAGCCACCTCGAGCAGTCAGTGGGAAAGAGGGAGGAGCAGCTGGAAAACAAGAATGACCTCTGTTTTTTTAAAAAAATAATTCTTTTAATTTACTTTATTAATATAATTTTAAATTTGACCAGAGAAAGACAGAAAGGGAGAGACAGAGAGAAAGAGAGAAGGTTGCCAGGTTCAGGGCTCGAACTGGGGTCGGCCATGTGGGAGTCTAGCAGCTCCACCACCACACTACCTGTTGGGTCCAAAAAAATGGCCTTACATGTGATTTGAGTTTTGCTCATGCATTCAGCAAAACTGAGGAGGCAGTGGAGTATGAGAGTTAAGAGGTATGGAGTCAGACTGCCCGGGTGCTAATCCCAGCTGTTTTCTCCCTCGAGGCGACTGCTAACCTTTCTGTGCTTTGGTTTCCTTATCAACAAGACGGAATAGTAACGACTGCCTCCTACACTTGCTGTGAGAACTCCGTGAAGGAATGCCTGCCAGAGGTGAGTGTTGGCTATTCCCATTAGGTAGAACCACGTGAAATTGCCATTTTGTAGGTCGATGCGAAGAGCATGCTGGCGGCTGCACTTGCCCCACACTCCTGCTCCCGACTGCTCTGACTGTAAACTGCTCACTGCCAGCAGGGCTGACCGGCCTGATCGGGCTACGGGCCAGGTCTGTCGGCGTCAAGGTTAACTCCTGGGGAGTGATGACGACGTGGCATCTCTTGGGGTCTTCCTTTCTTTCCTACGTCCCTCTCTGTTTTATCAACGGAACCTCGATCCGTGGGCCTTGCTTACGGGAGGAATACGCGCACGCACGCACATGCCAGCTAGAAATACCTTGAAAGAAATTACGAACACTCCTTCGGTCTCGCTTCCGTACTGCCGAATCGCCTCTTCGTCTTCTGTCACCACCACGATGGGCATCCTGCCCTGGCAGTGGTGGTAGTACCAGGCAGCCGCGTGGTATATGCTCCTGGAAAAGCAAGGGCGCCTGAGCCTCCCAGGGCGACAGACACGTGCCGAGGTTCAGGCCCCACACCCGACTTCAGCCTGCTCTCCTTCGGTCTACACAGTCACTCACTTGTTAGAGAGAGGCTTCCTGAGCACCCACGTGAACAAGCCCTGGGCTAGGTGCTTGGGGGAGAGACACGCATCAGAAGGCATTTGACACCTCTTCTTGCCTAAGACTTCCAGGCACCACAACAACCACTTTCACTTCTTGAGGGGTCTCAGACACCACCTTTTCACACCTTTTAACTGGAGGGCTAGGCCACACAGCACCACAGGACAGAAAGCTCGGCTTTTACTCAGAAGACGAAGAAGCAAGTCTTGGGTGAGAGCAAAACGAGGCCCCTGCAGCTGGAGACGATAACCCAGCAGAGTCTGAGGTAGGAGCACTGCCGCGCCCACGCATCTTCCTGAACGAGCCTGAGCTGGCCGACAGGTCCACATCTAGACAGCCGTGTTCTAGACTGAACAGTGTTTCCGGTGAAGGACGGAAACCTGGACGGTCCATTTTTGCAGGCACCTGCTTTCCTCTCTGCGAACTGAGATGTTATAGAAAGTCCCACTAGTGCTAGGCTTTTTATTGATTTATTTTTTAACAAACTCAGCCAACGTTTGCTCAGAGCCTGCTGTGCAGGGCTGCATGGTTAGGAGATGAGATTGTTCTGAGCGTGCAAGTGGGACCCAGCCTGGAGAAAGATCTGTGCTTCCTTTCTGGGGCCGAGCTTGGTGGCAACCCGGGACTGTAGCTGAGGACCAGGTGTGCATCAGTGCTGATTTTGCTTTGGAGAACTAAAATGTTCAATGGCTATAGTGGAGAAACACTTGGAAGGGAAAGACGACTTAAATGTGTTGTACAGAAAAGACATGTTCAAGCTTAGGATCTCTTCGCCCTGCACAGAAGCACGCGGCGGGCTGCAGGGCCCCAGCTGCAGTCCCAGGCCCACTTCCGCTTCAGCTGTGGCTGTGGCAGGCAGGTCCATCCCACCTTGAGGGGCCACAGAATTGAGGGGCTTCTTCTCAACTAAAGGGCAAACTAAGTGAGTGCCTGATCCCTGTCCTTGAGGGCACTTCTGGGGGCACTCTCTACATGGCTCTCAGTGTCCCCCGCAGGACTGACTGGACCTCCCTTCCCCAGGACACGCCCGTCCTGCACTGCTGTCCCTTCTCCCTCTCCCTCTGCCTGTGTCCCCGCTCCTGCCTCTGGGACTTGCTTCCCATTTGAACACCCCAAACTCCAGTGCTGGCTTCCAGCTCTCCTTTCAGGCTGACCTGCTCGAAGCGACATAGCCTTTGGAGAATTAACCTGCTAACTTCAGTTTACTAAGACTAGTTAGGATATGAGAACAACCTACACCAGATAACTGAGCAGATAATCTTAAAAGTAAACCTCTTCTGCACACACACACACGAACAGGCTTAAAGTTATAACTTCTGGGTCACTAGACGATCCTACTAGCCTGTCAGGGCCTGGGGCGAACTTGCACTGGGCACCTCCCTCTCCCTAGTCACAGCTGGTAAAACATCTCCATCATGTATTCAGATGACACATGTAAGATACCGGCATGTCAAGCGTGTCAGTGTCACTTGCTTCCACAGTAAGTGTTGGTTTATTCCAAGCAGACTACTCCGATCGACTCCCAAACAGCCGAGGATGAGGACTACGAGAAAATGACTGGCAGCCGCGGCAGCTCAGCGCCATACCTGGTCTGCCACTTCTCCACGGACTCCCCTCTTTCCCGCGGGAGGTAGCAGGACTGCTGGAATTCGTTGGCGAAGAGGACGCAGTCGTGCCGCGCATCCTTCAGGAGGTTCCGCAGTCGGTTATACTGTCTGTGACACAGAGCAGAGCAATGAGTCCGACGGCAGGTACTCATCTCCTGCCTCCCTTGCTAAGGATCGAAAAACAGATGAGGCATTTTAGAGCAAAAGATGGATTATTTAAAACTGACAAACGCTCCTTGATGTTGGCCGCGGAGTACCCGGTCCTGCTGGCCGCTGCTGCTCCGCAATCTCTCTGGCTAGGGAGTGCTTGGCTGGGCCTTGTTAATTAATGTGCAGAACAATTAAATTCCTTTCCTCCCCTTCCCCCTTTGGAGACATCTGGCCATTTTATGACATAATTCTATCGCCCTGCTTCACCCGGACCCCTCTTCAAAGCCGGATCCGTGGAAGCAGGCAGAGGATGGTACTGGGCCTCCGTCTCTCCCTTCACTACGTACAAGCAGTAAGCACGAACACAGCCCAGGAAAGGACAGGTACGGTGAAGGCGCCTGGGGATTTATCTGCGAATGTCCTCGATACAGCCACCATGGTTTACACAAATGACAGCCGTGTCTGTCGGACAACTAACAGGTTTTAAGGTTCTTCCTGTTCCGAGACCTCCCAATAAAGCTAGCCTGGGATGCAAATCAAACCCCAGATTCACATGGGTCAGCTTTTCAGCAGTGTCAGTACAATGAAATTACAGAAAAAAAAAGGTATTTTATTTTATTTTAAAGACTGTTCCAGAGGGTGTGTGTGCTCACTGGCAGGAGACAGAGAAGAGGGAAACTGGGAAAGCATTTCCCATGGAGAGGAGCACACTGCGATCCCCTCTCCTCCATCTCCCCCTCCTTCAAGGACTTTGGACACACACACAGACACCCAGCATATTTCTTGAGCCACCAGGTCCTGGACTCGAATCATAGTTAGCCATGTGGGATCCAGCCACCTTACCCACCACACCACGGGTCTGCCCAAATTTGGTTACTTTCTTTTTTCACTGGCTGCTCTGAGCTTATTTGGCCACCCTGGGTGGGAGGCCCTGAGCCTAGAAGAAGACACTGGGCCTCGTGGTGGGGAGTGTGGCTTGTGCTGTGGACGCAGGACCCGGTGGGACTCAGGGAAATTGATCTTGGAGTGGTGGAACTGCTTGACAGATGGCCGGCAGGACTTGCTGGGCCCCCATCTCCTCCACCTTCATGATCCGGATGGAGTGGGCACTGGCGTGGAGCCAGCCAGGCCCAGGTCATGGTCTGCAGAAAGGGCACAGGGGGTGGGAGTTAAGAGTAGGGGGGCCCAGATGACCTGTGGGCGGGGATGAGCTGGCACACCCGCCAGGCCCAGCAGCTGCCCAGGGGTTCCAACCCAGAGTCGAGTAGGGATTGGGTGGCCTCTGGCTGTGAGGGCTGTGGAACCTCCAAATTCACTTCGAGAGGCACGGCCACGGCTGCCCAAAGGCGAGGAGGCCTGCTTGCCATCTGCACCTCTGTTTAAACCACTGCAACAACCAACAGTGACTCTTGGGTTGGGGTGTGAGAAATTTAGTTATTTTAAAGGGAATCAATAATTTGTTTTTAAATCGATTTGGGACTGGAGCCATAGCTTAGTAGCCGAAGAAGCCAGCTCCACATGACTGACTGGTTCTCGTCCTGCCTCTATGGCTTGGAGGACAAGCCAGGGGCAACGGGACTAAGAAATGCAGGAGACTGTAGTATGACCAACCCCAACCCCACCTCTCTCTCTGGCAAGTATATGCATTCTCCAGCAATTGTTTTAAAAAAGAGAAAAATGGACTTACAATAAACAAGATTTTAACACGTAAATTATCCAGTGTAGACAACTGACACTAAACATGTATTTTACCACAATAGCACTGTACCAGGCTGGCTCTGTGGCCTTGTGGCTAAAGGAGCCAGATCCCATGTGGCAATAATGGTTCAAATCCCAGCCCCGTTGGCTTGAAAAACTATGCTGGGTGCATGTACATGAATGCCCCAAATCCCAACAGGGTGAAGACAGGGAGGAGTGGAAAGGCTTGCAGGGTGGCCATGCCCCATTGGGTGAGGTTGTCTCTCTCTTCCTCTCTGTCTCTCTCTCTGGTGAGTGTACATGCCCTCTGGCAAAACATACAAAAAAAATTGTACCAGGACCAGCAGTTGGTGTAATGGTTACGTCACTGGATTCCCACGTAGTTTACAATGGTTCGAGTCCTGGACCTGATGGCTTAAAACTCATGCCAGACACGTGTGCATGCTCAAAATCCCAAGAAGAGAATAGAAGAAAAGGGACTGTGGTGTGGCCATTCCCCCTTGGGGGTGATTTCTCCCTGGTGAATATATGTGCCCTATTGAAAAATCTCTCTCTAAAAAAAATCCAGCCTACCATGGATTTTTTTAAAAAATGAGTCTTGGTCTTATTTTTCTTTTTTAACGGTTTTTGCCACAGGGCATGTACATTCACTGGGGAAAGACAGTGAGAGGGAAAGTGAGAAATAACTCCCTGTGGGGGCTAGCCATGCCACAGTATCTTCTCTTCTACTCCTGAGATTTGGGGCATGCACGCACATGCACCCAGCGTGATTCTCAAGTTGGTGGGTCTGGGAGTTGAACAGTTGTGAGCTGTGTGTAAGTCCAGTGCCTTTACCACCATGCCACCTGCTAGCCCCTATTTAAAAATCTGTTTTAAAAAACAGATTTTCGGGACCAGTAGATGGCATAATGGTTATATTACTGGACTCCTAAGCAGTTGACCGCAGTTCAAGTCCCAGGCTGGCAGCTTAAAACTCATGCCGAGTCTGTGTGCATGCGTGCCCAAAATCGTGAGAGGAGAATGGAGGAGAAGCGATTGCTGTCCGTCTCTCCGGTGAGCGCACACACTCTATAGCAAAAAATTTCTCTAAAAAGAACACAAAACCAGATTTGATACTTGGCAGAAACTGAAAACAAAATATAGAACTGCCTATTCTCATGAGATAAATGCTATAACAGGAGAAGGGAGAGTGGGAAGGCTTCCTGGAGGAGGTGACCCTGAAACTTGAAGGATGAATCGGAGTTGGCTGGACAAAGGCCCAAGGGAGGAGATCAGGTGGAATGTTCAAGAAAACAGCTGGAGCAGGAGGTGGCCCAGCAGCTCTGCAACCACACCCATGAGGAAAGGCTCCGTGTTCCTGTCTTGGGACTTTCTAAGAACACCGTGCGTGGCACATGTGTGTCTGTCATCCAGGCCCCCGGCAGTGAGGGTGGATCGCAGTATGAGGGCCCTCTCTGTCTCTCTCCCTCTTATGGAAGAAAGACAAAAAGAGAGAGAGCAAACAGTACAGCTCATCCCTTTTTATTTTTTCAAAATTATTTTTCTTTTTACTCATTCATTTATTTTAATTTTACCAGACATACACACACACACACACACACACATACATGCACGCACATAGACATAGAGACAGAGACAGAGAGATAGAAGGGAAGCAAGAAAGCAAGCCACCAGGTCTGGACCGTGAACCACGGTCAACCGCGTGGGAGTCTCCAGCGTGTTCCCCACACGCCACCTGCCGGCCCCAGGTCATCCTTTCATCCTCAGTGCTTACCCGCGGCAGGCGCTTGGTACACGTTTTCTGAGTACAATGCACTGCCCTATGTGCCTGCAGTGTCTCAGACACAGGACGGTAATGCTGAACAGAGTGACACTTCCAGAACGCAGCTACCCCACTGAGTTCATATAGCTCACTGCACTGGTTATCACGCCTTCACTCAGGCCCAGGGGTTCTCGAGTTCTATCCTCCCCAGATACCAGTGTGCCAAATGCCAGACCCAGGCACTGCTGCCAAACCAGGGCAACGATGGCCCTTCCTAAGTTTTTATTAAAAGAATTAATTGTATTTGTTTTTATTGTTTTGATTTGCTACAGAGCACTTGTGCTTACCAGAGAGAGAGAGAAGGAAAGTGAGAAAGCCAGCCGCCAAGTCCAAGACTCGAACTGTAGCTGGTATGTGGGAGCCCAGTGTCTCAACCACCCCGCCACCTGCTGATTCCCCTAGTATTTTAAAAAATACTAGGTCTTTGGAAGAATCATGATGCATTTTCCCATTAAAAACAAAACAAAACAAAACAACAACAACAACGACAAAAAAAAACAGAAAAAGACAGGTCATGACTTTTCGTATAGCCGAATCCTTTTTCTTTTTTCAGAGAGAGATTTTTGTTGCACGGAGTGTACATTCATCCAAGAGACAGAGAGACAGAAAGCCAGAAATCACACACAGCCCTCTCCCTGGGGGAGATGGCCACACCGCAATCCATTCTCCTCCATTCTCCTCTCGGGATCATGGGCACACATGCACACGTGCCCAGAGTGAAATTAAGCCGCCGGGTCTGGGACTCTGTTGACTATGTGGGAATCCAGCGATGTGACCATTACGTCATCAGCTGGTCCCATGACAACCCAATCTTAACAGAGAATTTTCTCAATTGTAAGCTTTACTCCCATGTATTCCTTAGACTTTTAGTGCATGCTTACATTTGTCAACCACCGATCGTCCAGATAAGACAAATGAACAGACGCATGAGATTATCCATGGAGACGCAGGAAACAAACATGGAGTCTCTGAGCGTGACGGCCGGGTGCTTGTGCAGACACGCCGGCTTACGGCCATAATTGAACAGTGCATCCACATAATAGGACAGTCATATTTTTTGCCAGTCAGGGTTTATAGCGCACATGAGGGAATGAGATAAAGGCGCATCTCGTGTGGAGTTGGCAAAGCGCATCCTTGCACCTTGAACAAGTTGGCCAGAATGACAGGAGAACAGTGGTCTCACATAGGTAATCCAATAAAGCGATCGTAAGTTTTAAAAATTCCAGTCTTCCAGAAAAATACCCTGGTTTCCTTGGACTGATGTAGTTTTTCATTAATTAATCTACTTACTTATTTATTTTTAAATTTGCTATAGGGCACAAGCGCTTGCCTGAGAGAAACAGAGGGAGGGAAAGTGAGAAATCACCCCCCAGGGGGAATGGCCACGCCCCAATCCCTTCTCCTCCTTCTCCTCGCAGGATCTGGGGCAGGCAGAAGCCTGAGTGCCGCCTCCCACTCTCCACGCTGGCCCTCCCTCAGGGCCCTCCAGTGCTCCGTTTCTGTCCACTGATGTAAGCCAGAAACCCTGCTGCTGTCCTTGCCACCTTCTCTCCCACACACCTAAGTCTATCACTGAGTTCTGTAGATTTTTAAAAACAGTAACGTTTTTGATACTGTACAATTTATACCCCACAACATTTACTTTTTAAAAAAGGCACCGTGCTTGTCAGAGAGACAGAAAGAGATGGAGAGAGTGAAGGCAACCCCCATGGGGATGGTCACGCCACAGTCCCTCCTCATCTCTTCCTGCTTTCAAGATTTCGTGCACACAAACACATGTGCCCAGGATGTTTTTCAAGCCACTGGTCCAGGACTTGAACTGTGCAGTTGGCCATGTGGGATCCATGCCACAGGCCCCCACGCCACAGGCCAGCCCAAAATTTACCCTTTTAAAATGTATAGTTTTGAAAAAAAAAAAAAAGACGAAAACATGTACAGTTTGGTCTGGCTATAGTGCTTATGGGACCTGGATCCCACAAGGCTGACTGCACAGTTTGAGTCCTGTCCAGAGGCTTGAGAAGTATGCCAGTGTGCGCATGCCCCAAATGCCGCCATGACAGAGAAATGAGAAGGGATTACGGTGTGGCTACAAACCCTCCGGGGCGTGCTTGCGCGCTCTCTCTCTCTCTCTCTCTCCCCCTTTTTCTCTACTGAGCACATAAACCCTCTGACAAATTAAAACAAACAAACAAGGCCAGCCAGGTGGTTTAGTGGTTAAGGTGGCTGGATCCCACAAGGCTGATTGCATGGCTCAAGTTTGGGACCCAGCAGTTTGAAAAACACACCAGATGCCAGGGGCGTGTATACTCACACAAAATCCCAAGAGGAGAGTGGATTGTGGTGTAATCATCTCCCAGAGGGGTGATTTTTTTTTTTTTTTTTTTGGAGAGGTTTTTCTGCTATAGGGCACATGCACTCGCCAGACAGACAGAGAGAGATAGAGACAGAAAGAGAGAAATCACCCCCCAGAGGGATGGCCACGCCGCAATCCCTTCTCCTCCATTCTCCTCTCAGGATCTTGGGCATGCATGCACGTGCGCCTGGCATGAGATTAAGCTGCCGGGTCTGGGATTCGAACCACGGTCGACTACATGGGAGTCCAGCAACATAGCCATTATGCTAACTGCTGGTCCCCCGACGGGTGTTCTTACTCCCTCTGCCTGCATCTCTCATCTCTCTCTGGTGAGTGCATGTGCCCTGTAGCAAACAGACAAACATAGAGTGCAATGGTTTAATAGTCACAGAGCTGTGCAACCTTACTGCTATCAATTTCAGAAGGTTATCTTCATCCCAGAAAAAAATCTGTATCCATGCCCCTTGTCCCTTAGTCCCTGCAACCACTAACCTGCTTTCTATCTCTGCCAGTTTGCCTGTTCTGACATTTTAGATCATGGAATTGTATAATG